TCAACAAATAACATAATCATACGAAAGCATATGAAGGGACAAATCGAGATCAAAAAATGCATACACTTGCATATTAACTAACAGGACAAGTGTCATACATATGGCCACACAAGGTTGTACGTTGAACTGCAGATCCGCACGTACTAAATGTGAAACAATTTTCTTGAGGTTGTTGTAGCTCACTTGAAGAAGACTTCTTATGAAGAGAATGTGTATTACTGCTAAGAGAATGTGGACTATTCAGTAAGTTTTTCTCAAAGAGACTACGATGAGAACCATGATAAGACAAAGACGGGAGACTAATTGGAGACATAGGTAAATAAGTTCTACTACATAACATATTGATACTAGGACGATAAGACAATGGTAGCGCACTACTTTTATTGTCCTTCAACGATGAATCATATACATCAGAACAATGGGGTAATATTCGTAACCTCTCAAGATTGGACTGCAATGTGGATAGGAAATGTCGCATGATTTATTCTATTTTTATGTTGGTATAGATTAAATAGTTAATTAACAGAATTCTAACGATAGGTCTTTTTCATGATATGACGTGGGGTCCCTTGTAAGTATCATGCTGATATGACGTGGGGTACCTTTGGCATAGCTGCATGTTTCTAGTCATGTGTATGGTGCCTTGTAAGCTGACTGACTTAACGTAGGGTGCCATAGTGTTGGATGCCATCGTAGGTTGGATAGTACCACTCATGCGTCTTTACCCTGGATAATTCTTACTTACCTGTTGTGAACATTTTCTATGTAGATTATACTAGAAAGAAGTAAGCAGGAGACAGGCATTGAATAGTCTCTTTTTCTGTTTTTAAGAGAAGGCTACTTTATCCATGGGATTTCCTATGGAGAATGTAGTGGTTCTAGGATAAATCTGGCATATCCTAGTGATGTACAACTTCTACATGGATATAATGTATTCTGTAAGAGTAAAACCATGTCCAGTAGTGCCATTACCCCTCAGTAATTATCCCTCTAGCATATGAACTAGAGACAGACGTAAGTTATAATTCTGCGAGAAAGAAATACAGTGTATTTCATTCTCTAAGTAGCACCACAAAACCATAGTAGTGCACTTTGATAAGACAAATAAAGCAATAAAAAAGCTTTATTTCTCTAAAGGGCCACACTCGTTGGACACTACACCGACATCCATCCTACAAACGAATCACATGTGCTAGGGCCGACCCATACGCCTCCTTAATATATTATCCATCACACTAAAATAGCTCTCACTAGAGCACAAAAGAGGAGACTCCATGGACCGATCACACTACCACGGTTAGTGTCACGCCATCGGTGCCACAATGACGTGCCTATAGTACCCCCATAGGTGGTTAGTAGCTCGAGTTACCCGGAGTTGAGTTGTCACAACGAATGTGACGTCATACGTCTTACATATGGTCAATACATAACAAAATCAAATGGAAAGTCAAACATATGCCAAGTAAGGAATTATGTTGAATAAGCAAGTATTCGTAACAATAAAGAGGCTCAAATCGAATAATACATAGTCGATCACAAGTACCAACATGTGTACTTTTAGAGGTAAAATCATACCAAAATGTTACCGAACAAATAAACGTATTATTTTGGAGAAAACACATATTTGTACCAACATTGACCAACTTAAATAACATGATTAGAAAGTGGCTTTCTTACGACATGTACGACAAAGAACAATTGCAAGTGAATGGAAATGCGGTACAAAAAGAATATCAACAATCGTGAGTCAATTAATCCAAGTTGAGAGAAAGCTTAAGGGCTCGTAAACATATTTAAACAAATCAAATAAACGAATAGAATTAGGAATCCGTACCTTAAACTTCACAATGCCTAAAAATCACTAAGCCTACTCCCTTATATCCAATCTATATAATACAAAAAGCTCCGGTTAAAACTAATCACGTAATTGATTTACTATAGCGCCATAATATTAGTTATTTTAAACTACCCTTTTCAAGACTTTGCTCCATAAATGATCACCTTGCTAGGCTTTGATCAAATAATGTATATATGGATCCCGCCTCTAAACGGTCTGAAAATCCATCATATATATATATTTAGAACTTGGCAACTAGCTAACCAATAGGAAAACATAATTATATACTTTACTACTCAAAAATTTCATCTATTTAGGCTGTGACACAAACGGTTTCAAAAAGGAGGACAAGGGATATTTCCATGAACATTACACGTTTTAAACAGCTCCGAATACTAATCCCAATACCTTAATTTCAGCCCCTTGATGGCTAAATCTAACGACAAACCAGTAACTCAGACCGGAAGATCAAACTCAATTATTGGACCATGGGACAGCGGCAAATTTGACCGAAAATCGAGTCGTTTAGGCCTGTTTTCCGGCAATTAACACCTCTCTTGGCAATAAGACAACGACAACTATAATTACCAATGACAAGCAATTTTTTTAGGACTAAAATCAAGAGGGAAAGAGCAGAATTTTGGAGTTCAAATGGTGACTTAAGGGAACCCTAAGCTGCTGCCATTATTATCCGAATCGATGTCTTTCGGGCCACCGAAACGACTCCAATTCTACTCAAACAAACACCCAAAATTCACAACCCAGTTACTAATTACATTAAATTCGAGACTGGGACAGAACTTACCTCCAATCGACAGGAAATTGACAAGCCCCCACTTCAAACTATAGCTCCTTTTCTCTCCCGCCTTTCAATGGATTTTCTTTCCTTAGCTTCTTGAGGTTTCTCTGGGATTGGAAAAAAGAAAAATACTTGAGTTGGGACGTGTGTGGGAGATGAGATAAAAGGGGGGATTCAACCCTATCAACTCAATTTTACTCATGGGTTTAGCAAGGTTAAACCCTCAAAATTAAGCTATTTACAAACTTAACCCAACTTAATATACACCTGCTGAAATTATTTAGCACATTTTTTTATTAGACTTGCTCCGATATATTTGCGCACACACATGCTCCGATACATATATTTATTCACACACATACATATATATATATATACACATACATATATATATATATATACACACACACATACATATATATATATATATAGATATGTACACACATACATATAGATATATGTATATATATATATATATACCCAACAGGTATTATAAAGGTACTCTCTTCAGCATAAGTGTATGGAAGGGCAACTGCGTGTGATTTTGTTGGCTGATGGTAACGAGTTCGGTGAGGACGATGAAGTTTGTTATATCGAGGAAAAAGGAAATGATGATCCAGTCTTAGATGTGGAGTTTAATGCCCTTGAGTTCTATGGATTTGCATCAGACTTTTCTCCGCCCTTGAAGACGGTAAAACTGGCCGGCGAATTACGGGTTGTACCCGTTCTAATTTTGGTTGATAGTGGGCAACACATAAATTCTTCTCAAAACAGTTACTGTTGGCTTTAGGGTTGGATATTCGACAAACAAACCCTCTTTCCATCTGTTTTGACAGAGGTACCCGAGTTTCTTATATATATTTGAGGTATGCCAGGGGTCTCAATAAATTGGGGACCTTTACTCGTATTGTAGATGTTTTGGTTTACAATTTGGGGTCCTTGGACATAACTCTTGGCATAGCGTAGTTAGGAACCTTGGGCGATGTGGTTTCTAATTGGCAATACCCAACAAATGCGGTTCTGGAAAGATGGAACCGTTATTCAGTTGCAGAGAGTCTCCTCTTCACCTTACAGTCAACCTTTGCTTAAGACATGGCTAGAAGAAGCTACTTGGGAGGATGCAATCGCCATTCAAACTTGGTACCCTGATTCCAGGCTTGAGGACAAGCCTGCTCTTCAAGACGGCGGCATTGATAGGGAACGGCCCACTAGCGGAAGCCCATTTCTAGATGATCACCCAGCCCTTGGAATGGATCAATGGACAGGCGTATGAGACATTACAAATACTAATGGGGTTAGCAATAGGGAGGGTAGGCAAAAATTATAGTTTCCACTTTCCAACAGGGAGTATTCAGTTGTGAAAGCTTGGGCAGGAGGAAAGGTCGTTCATCAGCTTCCTATTGATTTTATCTCAATCTTTTGAATCTGATAATCAAATAGCTTAATCCTTCGTTTTAGTTTGCTGTATTGATTATTCTGTTCTCGTTTCTATCAACTTGCCATTGAGTTCTTGCTTCTAAACAATTAAAGAATTGGAAACAGTTTTCTTTTTTCTTTATTTTTTTGCAATTTAAAATATTAATATTGGTTATAGGTTCTTAGGATCAAAGATACTTTTTGTTTGTAGGTTGTAAAAATGGAATCTCAAATTTGATATTTAAATAAATGCAATAAGCATGTTTAGAAACACCAAGTAGACAAGACTAATATGTTATTTTAAACAACTCTAATTGTCAAATAGAAGAGGATGGAAAAATGAACATTTTTGTATCTTGCTGCAATCTGCATGTTCTATTTTTCGATCTTTACCATCTTACTTTATCTAGTTGTAAGTGTCAAATGTTTCCTAATTAAGTTGTCGCTTGGCATTGCAGGAAAACAGCTTTGATGTTGGCACTATGTAAACAGTTGCGTGACAAGTATAGTCTTGCTGCGGTATGTATGGCAACCAAACGTCTCTCGTGTTTCTAAATTATGTATTTTCTGTTGAGATTTCATATATTTTTGATTTTTTAAAATCTAACACTGGTTAGGGGCTGTTTACCAAATTTTCTATCAAGTGGATAAATTTGTGTGTCTGGATGAATTTATCAATCTGGATAAAAATGTGTTATTTACTTTTCTTTTTCTGGAATCAACAGTCTGAATGATAGAAATGACTGTTTTACCTATGATTACGAATTACGCGGTATTTAGTTGAACTTTATTCATATAGCATCAATTCATTAGATGCATGGTGCGAATCTCTAATCATCCAAAAGATGAGGTTCACCACTATTTTATTAACTCAATCACAATCAGCGGAAAATAATTACTCACATGCCTCACATCATTACCCAACATTCTTTATTTATAGTCTTCTCTCACTAATATAACCCTACACCTGTCCCTTTCTCCTCCTGCAATAGTAAACCTTCCAGGGCTTGGGTTGTTGGGCTGATCTATTAATGTTAGCCCATTGGACTGATCAGAGGCTTCGTTGCTATCACATCGGTTTTAACATTACAAAAAAAGAGGAGGATAGTGAGAGTGAAATGATGATAGACATGGTACCTCTACACCAATTAATGTTCCTGTCATGATAACTTGATAATTAAAGTATCTTGGGACGCCCCTCTGAAAACAGCTCCTGTTACTTTGATATCAACGGTCACATTACTATTCGCCACCACTATAGATTCTTGTCTATCACCTATTTAGATCCTTGCCTACCCTATGATGATGAACCATTTATCAAGTGTAACATAAATGACTAACACGAGATCCCTAACTGGGATGGGATAGGTGGACACTAACTTTGTGATTGAATAGGAGGACCCCTTGCCATTTTGCCTTCATTTTGGCACCCTAGCTTCCAGGATGTGGTTTTTTTTGCAAAAAAAAAAAAAAAACTCTTGTTTTTTTTCTTTTGCCAGATGCCATGTAGTATTATCATGCCGAATCCAGTTTTGCCTTGATACCATCATTTTTCTGGCATTTATATGTGCCTGTCAGCTTATGTTTTAGTGAAGTTTTAACTATTAACTCTATTGTTGTTTGTATTTAATTCTTATCTCTAGTCCATATCAATGAGTAATGCTTGTGTGGACAATTATTCAGGTTACAAATGATATATTCACAAAAGAAGATGGTGAATTTTTGGTGAAAAATGGAGCACTCCCGGAGGAAAGGATACGTGCTGTGGAGACTGGAGGCTGTCCACATGCTGCTATTAGGGAAGATATCAGCATTAATCTTGGCCCTCTTGAGGAGCTATCTAATTTGTACAAAACAGATATACTTCTTTGTGAATCTGGCGGAGGTAATTGGTGATATTGGTTTCCCCTGCTTTGCATTGTTCATGGATAGGTTAAATAGACTTGATTCCAGTTCATAGAGCATATTTTTGCTTGTTTTCCTATCCGTAATTGCAAGTGCATGCCCGCTATCTTAATTGATATTTGTTTAATTCGTGTGGCGGCAGATAACTTAGCTGCCAACTTTAGTAGGGAACTGGCCGACTACATAATCTACATCATAGATGTTTCTGGTGGTGATAAAATTCCCCGCAAAGGAGGCCCAGGCATTACACAAGCTGACCTTCTTGTGTGTAGTTTGCTTTCATTGTAGCGTTAAACGTTCAATTAAAGTAAAATTGTTGAAATATCTAATCTTGATTTAATTGTGTACTTTCAGGTTATAAACAAGACTGACCTTGCAGCAGCAGTTGGGGCTGATTTGGCAGTCATGGAGCGTGATGCACTTCGAATGCGTGATGGTGGACCATTTGTATTTGCTCAGGTAAAATGATTCTTAACACCCATTTACTCTTTTTGTGGGTATTTTATTTCCTAATTTGAATTTTCGCTTTTTACCAACCATTGAATGCTACAGTCAATGAAACAAATTTTTTAGATGGCAAAAATACTAGAATGAGGCTGAAACTCTCAATCACCCCTCCCCCTCAGGTTTTAATTTCCAATTGTGCTGGTTCTTTTCGAATTATCACTCCACCCCCCTGCATATAAACATCCATGAGCATGTGGATTGTGGAGTCGAGCCTCGATTCACTTGTCAGTTTCAAGCAAACTTGGTTCCCTTTCTTCTCATTTCTTGGTTTACCCTCATTTCAGTTAGGTTTTATTAAGCTTCATAAGCACACATGGTGTTTAGAAAAATGGTGATTGAACCAATTGCAAGTATTTAAGACAACTAGACATGTTACCGAGCATATTGAACAGTTTGATTACCCTTCTCGTTATCGACCTTATGTTCTCATCAAGTTTGATCTTTTCTTTTTGGATTTTCTTGGAAAGAGGATGACACCTCTGGCAAAAAATAAGAAACAGAAAAAATACACTTAAAAGTGTGCGATACTGCCAAAAGGATGCCATACATTCCTGTTCCAATGATGTATGTTTCATATGGATTTACAGGTGAAACACGGGGTTGGTGTAGAAGAAATAGTAGACAACATTTTGCAAGCTTGGGAAGCAACGACAAACTCCAAACGCCGATGATTCCAAATATGGATCACCCACTCTCATGTCTGCTTTGCTATTGCATTACTATCGATCTTTAGAAGCAGAAGACGTGGCTCTTAGCTCTGTATCATGCATGGCCATAGCCGGTAGACTTGTGGTCTTTTTGAATTCTCTGGTGTTTGTTAATCAATAGAGTACACCTTCAATGGTTTGGTTGATACATTGCTTGCAAATGACCCATATTGTGGATTTGGCATAAACACTTTATTATTATAAGCTTAAGAAACCACTTTATTATTTGTATTTTCAGATGGGATGGAACACATTGGGTGTGTATGTATATTAGACAATTAAGTGTGATATACATATATATATATATATATATATATATATAATTATATTAGAGGGTCTAGAGTATAAATGTATCTCTTATATATATATCCCTGATTGTAATCGGTATATACACACAATTACCAAGTTTATCTTGGTATCAGAGCCTGTATCCTGAAGCCAAGCTTGTGACCGGTAATTTGTAAAGTTGGCAGAAGGTGGTTGGAGTAGGAGTGGTTGGAGGAGATGTTTGGAAAGGAAATGATTGTTCATTAAATCGAACATGACGGGCCATGTATTGACGATCAGACTGTGGGTCGTAACACCGATAGCCATGATGAGCGGTGCTGTAACCAAGGAACACACAAGATGTAGAGCGGAAGTCAATTTTATGTTTATTGTATGGATGGAGATGAGGGTAGCATTGGCATCCAAAAACACGAAGAAAGGAAAAATCGGGTTTGTGTTTGAACACATGTTCAAATGGTGAGGTGTTTGAGTTGGTTCTGGATGACATTCGGTTAATAAGATAGACTGCAGTGTCAAAAGCAAAATGCCAAAACCGTTGTGGAACATGAGATTGAGCAAGTAAAGACCGGTTTCAACAACATGTCGATGTCGTCATTCAACAAAGCCATTTTGTTCGCTTGTATGGGGACATGAGAGGCGATGGGTGATGCCAAGAGGAGAGAAGAATTGGGAGAGATTCCGAAACTCGCCTCCCCAGTCGGTTTGGACAAATTTCAGTTTGGTTTGAAAATGCCTTTCAACCATCGCAAGGAATCGTTTAAAAGTGGCATAAACATCAGATTTTAGTTTTAGTGGAAAGATCCACATAAATTTGGAGTAATGATCAACACACATCAGAAAATAATTGTGACCATCAAAAGAAGGAACAGGAGCGAGCCCCAATACATCACATAAAACCAAATCCAAAATGTGCGAACTTTTATAAGTAGATGGTAACAAATGAAGTTTAGACGATTTGCCAACAGAACATGAATCACAAAAAGTACTAGCACACTTATTTTGTAAAGGTAAATGATATTTAGATAACATGGACTTCAAAAGTTGTGGATGTGGATGTCCAAGTCTTTGGTGCCATGTGGTGGAAGAGGCACGTGTGGTAGAAAATGACATTTTCTGAACAAGCTGAGGCTGAGGACGAAAGGAGTAGAGACCACCATTACTTGGACCAGTGAGGAGGATAGTGTGTGTGAACTTGTCCTTCACAACAAAGAAAGTAGAGTGAAATTCAAAGTACACATGGTTATCAAAACAGAATTTTTGAGCATAAAGTAAGTTCTGTTTTATGTCAGGTACGTGTAGTATGTCTTTAAGGGAAAAGGTTTTGTTTGGTGAATGAAGTTGTGAGGAACCAATGTGTAGAATGGGTAAACCCTTACCATTGCCAACGTGAAGGTTGTCCTTACCGTAGTAGGCCTCAGAGTTATCGAAGCTAGATAGGTCCGGTGCAACATGATGGCTAGAGTTGCAAACTAACCATTATTTCTGTAAGAGTGAATTACATTGTTGGTTCCTATACTTTGTGCATTGTTCTAAAAGGCTTGCTACAATGATAGTTGTGACATGTGACTCAAGGTTTGTGTTTCACGCCGTGTTAAACCTGTGACACACCATGAGGTAGGGATCCATGTGTAAACATAGTATCTGTTTAGATACGCTAAAATGACCTCTTCTCATAATGAGAATGTATATAACCCTATGCGGGTTTGGTCCGTTATGAAATGAACTTATAATCATAGAATCGACTCGATCATCAGATTATATTATAGATTATAAGTTTATAACCCAAGCCTATTACCATTGTAGAAAAGATCTAATTCTTTGATTCCAGTTAGTGAGAGAGATTTTGAACTAAGAAATACACCTTAGAAACTAAAAATAGGTATCCTGAGCAATTGCAATAATCAGATTCATTAATATTTTTGGTATAGTAGGTGCTATCACATACAATCATACTCAATTCAATGGAATTGCTTGATTATTTTTAAATAATAGTAGATAGAAACAACGCTTGTAAGGAGTCATATTAAAACCAAAAAATATAGGTCTGCCTGTCATCCATACTAGGGGCGGATCTAAAAGCATCCGTGATAGGGCACTTGCCCCCAACAAAATCTCTATCTGCAGGTTAAATTTTTTTGGTACCTCTTGGAACATTTGAATAATTATTGTTTAGGCCCCCAACTAATAAAAAATAACCCCCCCAAAGACTCCACTCACTCCCTTCCCACTGACTCATCTCCAAGACTTCACTTACACTCTCACAGACTCACTCGCTCACACTTTCATCTTCACTCACAGTTCTTCATTGTTAAAAAATACTAAACCTCTTAAAATATTGAATATTTATTGTTTATATTGATTTAATGATTAATACATTTGATTGATAAATGATAAATTACCAATGTTGGTCTACTTGATCCTCTTATTTTGATTTCTTTTGTATTTTTTTTTTTGGTAAATATCCATTGATTTTAGTATTGATTTGATAAACTACTATTATTATTTTTTACTTTCAATCTTTCATTTTGCATTTAATTATTTTATAGATCCCATTTATTATTATTTTTTAACTATTAGTTTTCAATTCCTTAATTGTTATATGATTTAGGGTTATTTACTTAATTTAGGTTTGTTATTTGTATTCAAAGTCTGCAATTGGTTTGTCTTTTTATTTTATTTTATTAACCTGGATATCTAACCCGCTACGCGAGCCGATTAATACCAGGACGATCACCTGCTTTGCAGATAGCCCGGAGTCACCGCATTTGAACGTCTGTGGCCACAAGGGAGATTTTTGACCTCCTTGGTTTGTCTTTTGTTTCTAATTTTTAGGTATTTTGTTATCTGATTTCTTTCTAACTGAATCTAGTTTCTTGGCCTTCCGCCCGCTAACCTATATGTTCATTAACTATTAAGGATTTCGATTTATCTTTTACTATGTTTCTTACAAATTGGTTTGATGTCACATATCAACATGTGTTTTCTTACAAGTTGGTTTAGTGGTTTGTTCATCTAGTTATCCGGTCCATTATGAATCAATTAAATATTGTATTAATGTGTATTGTATTTACTTACGTTCAATTTTACTAGAAGTAGTAAAATATATGAATAGTAGTATACCTGAAACCAAACAAAATAAGTTATCTTTATTCGATCAACCAAACTGTTTAAGCCGAAAGACGAATAACCTGAAACCGTCTTGGTTAGGATGAGTTGTTCGGTTTTGGAATTTTTTTACACCCTTGAGAGTTCCCCTAATCATAAAAATTTCTAGATCCGCCACTGATCCACACCACAATAAATAGAGTTTTAGTTTTCATCTCCCGTCTCATGGAAAACCCTTTTCGCTCCGCTTAACCTTATCCCTTTCTAGGGGTATTTTAGTGATAGGTTCTATATGAACTGAACGATCTTATTCATTATGGTATTTTTGAGCAAGGTCTTGGATAACAAGTCTAAACGTTTTGATGATATCGATATTGATGAGATTGACAATATTGGTGCTAGTTACGATATTGGTGCTAGTTATGATATTGATGCTAGTGACGGTATCCTTGATCAGGAGTTGGAACTGCTAATTAGCGTGAATGCGCTAACTATGGATATGCTGCCTGAAGAGGAAAACCAACTTTATATCACCCTTTAATTCGAATTAGCAACTAGCATTTAACCAACCCAACAACCATATGCTTCGACCGACGTTGAATGCCGAGCCGCTCATTGAAGATAAAAGTATATCGAACCCATATGAAGTTTTACCATGAGCAGATTGTGTCAATTGAGCAAATACAGGTTCAATTAAGATTTGCCTCTCCGGAGTACCAAAGGTAAGCATGACATCGTTATGAACATAAAGTCCCAAGGTATGGAAACCCAAAAAGAGGTTGGCCCAACTTAAATGAGATATGATAGCTTCTTTATGTTCTAACGTTCTTGCCAATATATTATTCTCATTCTATTCCGGATTGTGATCCCTAATGAAAAAATATAGCTCCATGAGCAAAAGCTTCTGTCATGATGAATCCTGCGATGTATTGGTGATGAGTATATAATGCAGCTTGAGTAGTAAAGTCTTGTGCTATAAATGCATAAGCGGGTAAAGAGTATATGTGTTGAGCTACCAAAGAAGTAATTACCCCTAAAGAAGCTAGAGCAAGGCCTAATTGAAAATGAAGCGAATTATTAATTGTGTCATAAAGGCCCTCATGCCTACTTCCCAATAGCCTCCCGGAGGGATATGTGCATCTAAAAGATCTTTCATAATGGAAATATTACTTTGTCAATTTCTGGAAATCTTATTTTTACGTGTGGTCTGAAGTGGTCTGAACCAGGAAGAATTTATATAAACCAATTATCCAATCATTCCCTTGACTTTCTGGGTTATCGTTCAAGTGTGCCACTAGAGCGTTCAACGGTCTGCAATCAAATACTTGAAAATGCATTTCTAATCGATAATGTTATTAAGAAATTCGATACTATTGTTCCAATTATGCCTCTGATTGGATCCTTGGCTAAATCTAAATTTTGTAACGCCTTAGGGCATCCTATCGGTAAGGTAATTTGGGCCAATTTATCTGATTATGATATTATTGATCGCTTTGGAGGTATATACAAAAACCTTTCTTATCATCATAGTGGATCTTTAAAAAAAAGTTTGTATCAAGTAAAGTATATACTTCGACTTTCTTGTGCTAGAATTTTAGCTCGTAAGTATAAAAGTATTGTACATGCTTTTTTGGAAAGATTCGGTCTTCAATTTCACGATGGTTATCTAGAAGGTGTATTTGGTATTTGTATATTATTTGTATCAATGATTTTGTGATAACTGGATCTTGGTTATCACCCGAGGTAATAAATACGTGATTATTTGTTACAAAGTGTTTATGTGACAGCATGAGAAATTGTTATATTTGATCATGCTAGTATATGAAATTATATGCAATAATATG